GTGAAAGGTAGAGAACGAGGGGAAGAGGAGGAGGATTATGAAGGGGGAAGTGTTGAAATGAGGGGGAGAGGAAAGATGAGGGGGGGGGGAAGGGGAAATATAAGAAGGACAGGGGGATGAATGAGGGGAAGAGAAAGTTGAGAATTGATAGTAGGAGGAGAGAGAGAGAGAGAGAGAGAGAGAGAGAACAGATAAACGACCTGAGAAAGTTTAATAAGATGCACTCACACGGCACCAGTTAAAAGTAAACAATTACGAAGACTCAACAGTGAATCATTGGTTATGTTATATTGCAAATGTAAACAACAACAACTTTCCTTACACTCACCAGAAAAAGATCCAGTAGTGAAATTAGAAATAGATACGTTGAACTGACTCTTCCTCCTCCTCCTCCTTCTATTCCTCTTTATCTTCCTCGTCAGTTTCTTCTTCTTTCAGTTCTCAGTTTCCTCCTTTTCCTCCAACTTCACCTTCACTCTTATGATTTTGTATGTTCCTTTCAACCACGTCTCTCTCTCTCTCTCTCTCTCTCTCTCTCTCTCTCTCTCTCTCTCTTCTGGAGCTGCTTAGAGACCAAAAGTATACTGAGAAGTCCTTTTTTAGTTCTTCCGGATTTTTTCTTCCGACTTCGTAGATGAACTTAAAAAAGCATACTCTCTCTCTCTCTCTCTCTCTCTCTCTCTCTCTCTCTCTCTCTCTCTCTCTCTCTCTCTCTCTCTCCTATACTCTCTCTCTCTCTCTCTCCCGGCGTTCAACCAACGCTGCTGGCTGGGTCGTGGAGGTGCTGAGGTGGTCGACTCCTGTGTAACTTATCGATAATGTGGAAATTTATCTCAGTAAAAATAAAAAAAAATAAAATGTCTAACAAAAAAAAAATTGTTTCCCACTGAAGGAAGACCCAAAAAAAAATACGAACTTTTCACTAACAAATTATAAGAAAATAGTAAAGACAAGAACAAAACAAACACATCAAAAAAGTTAAACAAAACAACAAAAAAACACGAAAACATAAAAAAAAATAAAAACAACAGAAATACCAAACAACAAAACAAAAAAAATCAAAACGCAAACAAATTAAAAAAAAAAATAAAAAAACACAAAAACAAAAAATTACAACAAAAACTCAAAAAAACCTAAACCAAACAACAAAATCAAATAAAACAACAACAAAACACTTGATCTATTACAGGCACCACTGGTATAAGACACACATATTAAACACCTCTTTTAAGGAGTTGTGGTTAAAACAATGAGACATACGGATATAGGAAGACACACACACACACACACACACAGCCCACACACACACACACACACACACACACACACACACACACACTGAGTTATTCACTGCTCACTGTTCTGTCTAGCCAAGATCACATGTCAGTTCCCGTAGTCCAAAGTCACTTCAGTAAATACACGAAAATTAAAAAAAAAAAATATTACACTTCAGCCGGAATCACGTACAAAATTTCCTCCATTAAGATACGGAAGTTAACCCCTAAGACGAGGTGGCGGAAGGTGATGTTGGCTCGATCTTCTCGTTCCTCCGCCCCTCCCGCCAGGCTCTCCCCTCTCCCCTGCTGGTGACGGCTGACAACTCTGCGTGAAGGATATATGTGTAAAAAGAAAGAAAAGAGAAAGAGAGAGGCAGCCGACAGTTTGTTACAAAGAGGGAACCTAAGTACATGTCAGGGAGAGGAGAGCTGTGTTAGTGGTGGTGGTGAAGGTAGTGGTAGTGAGTGGTATTAACTAACAATTAGTGGTGGTGGTAGTGATGAGTGGTGATAGCTGTGTTAGTGGTGGTGGTAGTGGTGGTAGTGTGGTGGTGATAGCTGTGTTAGTGGTGGTGGTAGTGGTCAAGTTGACGGTGGTGAGGTAGTGGGTAGTGGTGGAAGGGGGTAATGGTGTTAATAGTGGATGGTGGTAGTAGTGGTTAGTGGGTAGTGGTGGTGAGAGAGAGAGAGAGAGAGAGAGAGAGAGAGAGATGTATGTCTGAACACAATCACCCCACGAACGCTAGACCAAGGACAGTCCCGGAAGCTAGGGAACACTTGCCTCAATAAGGAAATAGACTCCAGGGTCCCGTTCTCCAAGATTAATGGCCAGTAGCCTCACACCGCCACCAGAAGGCTCTGTCGCACCAGGCTAGAGATTAGGATACCCGGATATGGTGTAAAATAATACTGATTATATTGATGATATTGTAATGCTACGACTATATAAGTAATGGTGATAAGTATAGTGCTGATGTAACATTCTGTAAATCAATGTAGTAGTCACCGCTAAAGGGTGTCTCATGTCATCGTTTTCAGTAAAGCCCACACAACCTAATATGTCATCAATGAATCCTAATAGTTTGCCTTTACAACACCTCGCAACATACAGTTACCGGGGCACTATCTTGAGTGGTCATTGCCGCCGCTATCTACAATGTAAAGTGACTCATTGGTTTTCATCGATTCCTGAAATTCAATCTGTTTGGATAAGATGCTCACTGATTCTCTGATACATGTATACATAAGAATCTCTTACTTGTAATAACTTTCCTTAGATGATAAAAAATAAATAAATATAATGAAGAAAAAAAAATCCCTCGCAAATACAGAAAAAAAAATGCTTGAATGGCTTAAAAAAAAATCAATATTTCGATGTTTTTTTCTCTATCTACTAAGACGTATAAATGCCCTCAAGAGCCTGAGTGAGACTTATAAGAGAATAATGAATGACAAATATCTGAGCAGAAGGGGGTGGAGTGCCCGATGTCCCAACCACCCACCTCATCCTTCAGACAGACTACCATGGTGACTCCCCCCACAACTCCTAACAATACAGGGATGGAGGGAGGGTGAAGAGGGTGAAAGAAGGGGGGGAGGAGGGGGGTTAAAAAGTCATGTGTTATATGAATGTTCACTGTTCCGGAAGTTAATAAACCATAGTGCTTTTTTCAAGATTAAAATGTCCTTTCTCCTTTACATTTACAAAAAAAAGACAAAAAGAAAAGTGGCCGGAGTGTAAGGCCATCCCGGAGCATGCACCGCCACACCACAATGACCCGTGGCCACCCCGGAGCATACACCGCCGCACCACAATGACCCGTGGCCACCCCGGAGCATGCACCGCCGCACCACAATGACTCTTGACATAGACGGAACAGTTGGAATTACGAGTGTTGGACAATTACATATAGGAGAGTACGCTGGCCTAGACGGTGAGACTTAGCCTGGTCTGAGGAACTGGTTTATACATGGCTGTGTTGTGATGCTTCGTGTGTGTTGTGGGTGGGTGGATGAGGTTGTGTGTTGTGGGTGGGTGGATGAGGTTGTGTGTTGTGGGTGGTTGGATGAGGTTGTGTGTTGTGGGTGGGTGTGAGGTTGTGTGTGGTGGGTGGATGATGTTGTGTGTTGTGGTGGTGTGGATGAGGTTGTGGGTGGGTGGATGGATGAGGTTGTGTGTTGTGGGTGGGTGGATGAGGTTGTGTGTTGTGGGTGGGTGGATGATGTTGTGTATTGTGGTTGTAGGGTGACGCTGTTGTAGGCGGATGATATAAACAACCTTGTATTAAACAGTGTTTTTATTGTATAGAAACAAAGAACATGTACACTAACCCACCCCCCCCCCATACACTGACGTACACAAGCATGTAAATTAGTATATACACATACATACACATACACATACACATATACGACAAATAAAAAACACAAACAGTCAATATCCTTCAGTTTTATCTGTATTTTCCCTCGTATATTTCTGTTTGTATTTTATTTCTGAACGTTTTTTTTCCACCCTTCGTCTCTATTATTTACAATCACTCTGGCGGGAATCAATCAGTGTTTGGGCCACTACTCACACTGGCTCTAGCTGACTCACCACTACCACTACTCTGGCTGTTGCTGCTCCCACTATAACTCTCCTCCACACAGTTATAAAAATGTTGGATCACTTGAACACAATTTGACATTTTTGTTTTTCTTCTATATTTTACAATCTCAAAAAGGATGTGTGTGTGTGTGTGTGTGTGTGTGTGTGTGTGTGTGTGTGTGTGTTGAAGCATAGGGAGATCTTAATACATACTTACTAAACATCTCTCATAACTCCCTGACTTTCTACTGTACAGTATATTGAGCAATATTGCATCATGATCTGAGGACACTAACACGTATAATGATTCTGAGTTACACAGGTCATATACCATTACACTATGTTAATGTCTGCCCCACGTGTTGACACTAAACCTTTAATGACAGTCTAATTGTAACTCTGATGACTAATATCTTAATAACGAGGCTGTGGTGTGTGTGTGTGTGTGTGTGTGTGTGTGTGTCCACCGCTGATGGTAATATGAGTAGTTGTGGCAGTTGTTCACGTTGTTGACAAGTTCTGAATTGTTGTCCACAGTTGAGTGAGCAACGTACACCCGCCTTCTGCTCTGAACACCCAAATCCTCAGGACACACGAACTGATTTACAATTACTCTAAAATGAATAGTGTAAGTGAAAATGTATTATGAGTTATATTTTTTTTTTACAATTTACAAAGACGTGCGCTATAGTTTTATCTGGTTATCTTATGAGGAGTTAATGTGCTGGTGATAAGTCGTTGTTTCTTTCTGTTTATAGTTTAAACCAATTTATAGGGATAGGAACGTGGTTTAACCCTTTGAATACGATGTCTTAACCACTTGAGGACGATGGTGTAACTCTTTGTTGACGATGGTTTAACTACTTGAGGACTATGGTTTAACCACTTGAGGCCAATGGTTTAACCCTTTGTTGACGATGGTTTAACCCTTAGAGAAAATCTGGTATATTGCATTTCTAAACCTCTCTAGATTTTTCCAATTCCAGGACACATTTTTCAATTTTAGTAACTATTTTTTTTTCAATTAAAGAAAATAACTTTTATATTTTTTTTATTTTTTTCACCTTTGTTTTCAGTTTCAGAACCCAATTTTACGGTCAAACATCAGAACATATTTCTCCCTTTGTTGCAGACTCCAGTGAACCAGCGATGGCGGTGAAGGGCCAAACAGCAAGAATCCCCTGTCATACCCCACGTTCTTCCCCCACGGCTCAAGTCCAGCTCACTCTTTGGTATAAGGATGGCATTGGCAGGCCTATTCACAGGTGAGTAATAGGTGAGGTTTGTTTGCTTCATCAACAATTGGGTGATGAGTTCCTGTGAGATTGTCTTCATCAACACGCTTCAGGAGAGTCTTAGTAGTGCTGGGTTCATGAGATTGTCTTCATCAACACGCTTCAGGAGAGTCTTAGTAGTGCTGGGTTCATGAGAGTGTCTTCATCAACACGCTTCAGGAGAGTCTTGGTTGTGCTAGATTAATGTGATTATGTCTGCCGAGTCCATTCCTCTTTGTAATTTTTTTCTGTAATATATAATTTTAATTTCTTCTTCTTCTCCTTCTCTCTGTTTTGTCGTCTTAATTGTCCGTTTTTCTTTGATTTGTAATGTTGTAAATTCTATTCTCATCTTTGTTTTCTTATTCTACTTTCCTCTGTTACATCTTTTGGTACTTTTCCTTCTATTCACTTTACGTTATTTTTAGGTTCCATCAGCATTCACGTTTGTATTAATCTCTTATTTTATTTAAGTAAATGTCACGTGTTCTCTTAATTTCCTCCACTGTTTCCGTGTTTAATATTTTCACTTCCAGTCTGTTGCTTCCTGAGAGGTTATATTATGTTAATATTTATTTCCTTGGATTTAATACTACTGGGACGTCCACACACATACACACATTATATATATATATTCGGTAAATAATCTCTCTCTCTCTCTCTCTCTCTCCCTCTCTCTCGCTCTCTCTCTCACTCTCTCGCCAAAACATATGATAATTTAAGATAATTTCGTCCGCCAGAAGATACAAAATTAATAAGTGAAGAGGAGAAAGTGATGTAGTTGTCTAGTCTTGAGGATAACGAGGTCATTATCAGGTGGGTAGGCAACACGAACAGGTGACTCACAGGAATTTATTGAAGAAAAGTTGGTAAGGGAAGGAAGAAGAGGAATGATGTAGAGAAGTAAAGGGAAGGAAGAAGAGGAATGATGTGGAGGAGTACAGGGAAGGAAGAAGAGGAATGATGTGGAGGAGTAAAGGGAAGGAAGAAGAGGAATGATGTAGAGAAGTAAAGGGAAGGAAGAAGAGGAATGATGTAGAGGAGTAAAGGGAAGGAAGAAGAGGAATGATGGAGAGGAGTAAAGGGAAGGAAGAAGAGGAATGATGTAGAGAAGTAAAGGGAAGGAAGAAGAGGAATGATGTAGAGGAGTAAAGGGAAGGAAGAAGAGGAATGATGTAGAGGAGTAAAGGGAAGGAAGAAGAGGAATGATGTAGAGAAGTAAAGGGAAGGAAGAAGAGGAATGATATGGAGGAGTAATTATAGAAAGGAAAGAGAACGGGAAGGATTTAGGACTGGGTGGGTGGGTGTACGTGTGGGTGGCTTGGTGGGTGGGTGGGTGGGTGAGTGGGTGGCTTGGTGGCGGGTTGGCTGGCTGGCTTAGTGGGTGGGTGGGTTGGCAAAGAGTCTCAGCTCTCGTTCAGGTTTATGACACCGAGAGAGAACAGTCGCTCAAGATCAATTTTCCGGGTGACCGAGGAGGTTTATGTCCCGTCATAAATCATCCTTCGGTCAAGCACCAATGGTCATGAACTGTGCCCACACCTCCTGACTCCTCCCCATCCTGCAGCCTCCTCCTCTTCCTCCTGCAGCCTACTCCTCTTCCTCCTTCAGCCTCCTCCTCTTCCTCCTGCAGCCTCCTCCTCTTCCTCCTGCAGCCTCCTCCTCTTCCTGCTTTTTACCCTCCTCCTCCTCCCCCTCCTCCATCTTCTTCTCTTCCTACTCTTCCCCTTCCGGCTCTTCCTCTTCCTCCTCTTCCTGCTCCTCTTCCCGCTGCTCCTCCTCCAGTATCCTATTCCTTCTTCTCCACCTCCACCTCTTCATCCTCCTCTTCCTCCTCTCTGCCCTATCTCATTCTCTCCCTTTCTTCCTCTTATTATCCACAAACACTTATCCACCTCTTTCCACTTCCATTTTATATCTTTCCTCAATCTCCTCCACTCTGCATTTTCCCAACGACACGAACACACACACACACACACACTCTCTCTCTCTCTCTCTCTCTCTCTCTCTCTCTCTGCAAGGATTATAAATATGGCAAAAATATTTCATAAACTCTATTTAAAATAATAAAAAAAAACACATAACTATGCATAATAAAATAAAACATATCTAAAAAAAACATAAAAAAAGTTATTTACATTATTTTTTCCTTCATATATATACCTTAACATTATGTATATATTATGTTCAAGATGCGTAGGTCTAATTATTTAGCTGTTGTAAAATAACCACAATTAAGATACGTAATTAATTCTTACTATGAGATACACGAAGGTTAACGAATGACGTAATATGTATACAGATAGTAAGAGTGTAAACATATCAACTTCCTGTACACACCATTGTTTATATACCCGCAATGTGTGTTAATATGCTGAGTAATATAAACTTATATATTTGTCTATTTATCAATTTATTCATCCATCCATCAACATTATCTGTCTATATATTCGTGGGAAGCATCAGGTAGTGAAATGCGGCAATCCGGCACCGTAGACTTTATCAGGCATGATAATACTAGACGACTGTGGTCCGTCTTTTTCGTTGCCATTGGGGATTTTTTTCATTTAATAGTAAAGCTTTCATACCTCATGGAACACACATTAACTATAATATTAACAGGAAAATGTATAAATAAAACCTGAACAATAGAACAAGAGAGTGTAATAAAAAATGGAAAATAAAAGGACAAACTAATCGGAATATGAAAGGAAATAACACCTAAAAACATTTAGTGAACATGAAACAAGAGAGTCAATGAACCAGATAAAATACCAGAAAAATAGAAGGAAAAAATCTAATATACAAGAGAGAGAGAGAGAGAGATAGAGAAAGACATAAAAAAGAAAGAGAGAAAGAATGCAATATAACCAGAGTATAAAGAGAAAGTGAAAAGAAAGTTAGATAGAGACTAATATCAACCAGGCAGTAAAATGAAAGTAAAAGAAAATGGAGAGAAAACGAAAACTGAAAGAAAGTAAAGAGATAAAAAAACCTAAAAATAAGTAAACACAGAAGTAATGCAACATAGCCTCCCCTCACCCCTCCTCCCACCCCTACCGCTCACTCCCCCCCAGCCCCCCAAACCCCCACTAGGAACTCCCTTCATCAGTATTCAGACGTCAGAACGACCCAATTCGTCCTGGGAGGTTAACGATCCTCCTTCCCTCCAATTAGGAACAATTTCTCTCCAGCCAAAAGAGAATCTATCCAGACTATGCGACTCTCGGCTCCGCATTTGTACGTTTATGAGGGCAAACTTTTGTCAAGGTAAATTGGCTGTTTGGCGTAATGACAGAGTATGATGGGTGGCTGTGTGTAGGGTGGGTGGCTGTGGTGGATGGCTGTGGTGGGTGGCTGTGTGTAGGGTGGGTGGCTGTGGTGGGTGGCTGTGGTGGGTGGCTGTGGTGGATGGCTGTGGTGGGTGGCTGTGGTGGATGGCTGTGTGGTGGGTGGCTGTGTGTGGGGTGGGTGGCTGTGGTGGGTGGCTGTGGTGGGTGGCTGTGGTGGGTGGCTGTGTGTGGGGGTGGGTAGCTGTGGTGGATGGCTGTGGTGGGTGGCTGTGTGTAGGGTGGGTGGCTGTGGTGGGTGGCTGTGTGTGGTGGGTGGCTGTGGTGGATGGCTGTGGTGGATGGCTGTGGTGGGTGGCTGTGTGTAGGGTGGGTGGCTGTGGTGGGTGGCTGTGTGTAGGGTGGGTGGCTGTGGTGGGTGGCTGTGTGTGGGGTGGGTGGCTGTGGTGGGTGGCTGTGTGTGGGGTGGGTGGCTGTGGTGGGTGGCTGTGTGTGGGTGGGTGGCTGTGGTGGGTGGCTGTGGTGGGTGGCTGTGTGTGGGTGGGTGGCTGTGGTGGGCTGTGTGTAGGGTGGGTGGCTGTGGTGGGTGTGCTGTGGTGGGTGGCTGTGTGTAGGGTGGGTGGCTGTGGTGAGGGGCTGTGTTTGTTTACCACTGTTACTTGTCTAATTCTCGCACCAGGACCCCTCTCATGAGTCTGTGTTGTTCGCTAAGTGTTGTGAGGTGTTTTGGTGTCTCCTATTACCACTTACCTGAGGAGAACTGTAAGTGGCCTCTGTTGTCCAGTGTTTATGTTGACGTGTCCGAAGAGAAGAGCAGAAAAGAGAAGAGAAGGAGTCAAGGGGGGAGGAAGATAAGAGGGAACAAGAAGAGGAGAGAAGAATGGAGAAGAGAATGAGAGGAGAAAGAACGAAAATAGAGAGCGAGAGAGAGAGAGAGAGAGAGAGAGAGAGAAAGAGAGAGAGAGAAAAAAAAAAACCCCTGTAAGCAAGACCTCCTAATCTTCCTCCTCGCCATCCTCCTCTTCGCCATCTTCCTCGCCATAGGACGAATCTTTAATTAAATTTCTGATTAAGAAGGTCATTTTGGCCACAATTTTCAGACAGTCGCAACCTGACGTTAATTGGATGAAACACCTCTTTGATGTCGTCTTAAACACCCGAAGGGGGAGGAGGGGGGAGACTCGGAAACAGTTTTTTCTTAAATGCTTTTATGAAATTGAATTAGAACTCATGAGGAAACTACTCGTATGTTGGTACTTATGTGTATAGGTATATATGTATTTATATATGTGTGTTGTATGTATATGTAATGAATATGTATAATTTTTCGAATGTTTCACCTTTAATATACTATATATCCTAACACAACACACAGAGACAACTTACATACTATTTACACATAATTTTGCAACAGGTTAACCTTAATTAACTTCTGTATGTTTTAACACGAACAGAGCATCAATAATAAACTTAATCCACCTGTATATAAAGTACTTGTCTCAACACTGACGTATGAGTTTCATCTCCTCTCGTTCTTGTTGTTGTTCACAGTTACGACTCGCGAAGTAGTCCCCCTCGGTCCTGGTCAGATGAGCGGTTGATAGGGTTTCGCGCTACCTACATTCCTGACGGTGATGAAGACTATCCTGAGATACCTTACCTGAAACTGGAGGAGGTTACGACCGAGGATGCTGGCGTCTACACATGCAGAGTAGACTACAAGAAAGCCCAGACGCAGAGAGCAGAGGCCAAACTTATCGTTATAAGTCAGTATAATTTCTCACATTTTTATTTATTTATTTTTTTGATGATGACGAAGAGACAGTGTTAGGAAAAATAACACCACCACTAATATTACAGCTAATAGCCATCTTATATTTTAAAACTGATTTGTAACTTAATCTAACTAACTTAAACTATTGTCCCAGGTTAGGTTAGGTTATTATTTTGGTTTTGGTATGATTGGCATAGGTTAATAAGGTGTTAGATTATATGTCTACCTCTATATATTTATGTCTGTCTGTCTGTCTGTCTGTCTGTCTTTCTATCTGTCTGCATCATCTCTCTCTCTCTCTCTCTCTCTCTCTCTCTCTCTCATAATACCAGTTATGATCAGGTTCTGTAGTCTACCAAAACAGAAAAAAGTACACTCATTATTTTTAGTTCTAGGATGTATAATTAGCAGAAAACTAACGTAATTATTACCTTGAGGATTATTATCTTGATTACATACAGAATTACATAATAAATTAAAAAAAAAAAGGTAAATTTTTTTTTAAATGAATGACTTTAATTTATTTGCGATGGGTTTTGGAAATTTTACAAAGATTAATATTTTTTTTCACAACGCAATTCATGTATGATATGATTTGCTAATTTTATGGATGGGTGGTCAAACGGGTCCCAGTCCTAATGCGCACCTGTCCTAGTAGGGGTCCACTATTGCCTAATCATTTGGGGCCCACTCGTAACAGGGGTCCCAGCTAAAGTAATTGCTGTTCTATGATGTCCCAGTGGTCAGGTCAGGTCAGGTCAGGTCAGGTCAGGTCAGGTCAGGTCAGTTCAGGTAGGGTTAGGTTAGGTTAGGTTCTTCACCCCCCCCAAAAAAAAAAAATCCACCCAAACACCTTTGACTGGCACCTTATATTACAGTTGGGTGAGTAAAGGCGGTCGAGTGCAGTACCGACCATTCGTTTTGTGTACAGGTGTTCTATATAGTTCATCTCGGTTATTGTGATTCATTTTAAGCTGAGGATATATTAGTCTGTAATGTAGTCTGGCCGCCAAGATTCTAACCATCAGAAAATGTTGAAATTATCTCAAGAAAGACAGAAGCAAAAATTCTCTTTATAATTAATAAGAAAACTGGGAGGAAGTCATTTGTCCCCACAGTTCAGTTTTGTTAGGGTTCATTTTTTTCCTTATTGATATAATAGAAACATCTCAGGCCACGTTACCACTTATCTTGTTTCTGAATGGTGTGCGACGGTGAACAAGTGGATCCAGCTATCGCCTCTTATTCTAAGGGTCCGTGATCTGAGCCAGGAGGATTCACTTAACCTAACCTAACCTTATTTAAGCTATTTAAAAGATGTGTCTATATCCAATGTCTTTTTTTTCAAGCCAATATTAAGATTTTTTTTCTGGGCTTTTTTCTTCTTCAAATAATCGGTGATTTTTTTTTCCCTGACGTCATCAACCAATCTCCCCGAATAACTTTCCCTGAACAGTGTGAAGTTAACGACTCATTACATCTCCTTAAATCCTAAGTTAGGGGAAATTTCTCTTCATGAGTCTTTGGCTCGGAGGTAATATAAATCTTTCTGTCTCTTGGGAAAGGAAATAAAAACAAAATCTTTGCCTCACGGTTAAGGTAAAATAAACCTTTTTCTCCCCAAAAGGAAAAGAAAAAATAAACCTTGTTGTCTCATGGCATTGAAAAAAAAAATTACAATGCAAATTAAACACACACACACTCTCTCTCTCTCTCTCTCTCTCTCTCTGTGTCATAACATAAATAAAACTAAACCCGACCATCTCACAAAGTAGAGTATATTAAACCTTATTAAACCTACTTATTCACGGAGTAGAGGAAATTAAACCCTATATCTCACCTTGTAGTGACAATTAAGCCCAGTGTCTCACAACATCAAGGGGTTCAACCTCCTTTCTCTCACGTTATATGAGAAGAGGGTTAAGAGGATGGGAATTAAGACGAAGGGAGAACTATGTGATAATGAAGAGAGAAGTGTAGTGATGTTTAGGATACTAGGAAGGAAGAGAAGGAAGAAGAATAGGTATACTGTAGGAATATGAGAGTAAAGGAGGAATGAGTAGGAAGGGAAAAAAGAGGTAAGGAACAAAATATCGAGAAAATTAAGTAAAAATGGAAGGAAATGACGATAAAGACAAGGAAGAAATAAACTGGGGATTATTATTATTATTATTATTATTATTATTACTATTATTATTTAAAAATATTTATAGTCATAGGTTAGGTTAGGTTAGGTTAGTTTATTGCCGGAGTGACACATCGTAATGGCACTATAATAATTAACTTTGCCCCTAATACATCATGTCCGTTTTCTATGACAGCTCCTCCCGGGACACCCACCATCCTGAGAGAAGACGGGACTCAGGTGCAGGACACTATTGGACCTTATAATGAGGGTACCAACGCCAGCATCACCTGTCAGGTAGTCGGAGGTAATACCACTTTTTTAATATTTTTTTCCCTTCTCATTAATACATACCATCAGGTGTTGTGAGTGTGACGAAGGGTTGTGAGTGTGACGAAGGGTTGTGAGTGTGACGAAGTGTTGTGAGTTGTGACGAAGAGTTGTGAGTGTGACGATATGGCGATATATTTCAACACGAGAAATAAAAATTCGTGAAAAAATAACCACTTTTTTTTTTATTAATACTTAATTGAAAACTGCAATGGGAAAAAAAAACAAGGTATTCATTTTGCTGGTTTGATAACGTCAGCTCTGAGTTAGGTGAGAGAGATTGCTTGCTTCATATCATCATAAATATGTCTCATAATTTTATTAATTTCAAGCTCCAGCCGTTATTAATTATCGTATTAAAAATGTTCTAAATTATGAACAGTTATGTAAATGATGTTAATATATCATAGTAATTAATTCACTTTAATGTTTAGTCTAGTCTACCCAGTCTTCTCTGTATCTCTATGTAATTAGTTTTTAGTTTATTTTCTTTAAAGGATCCGAACGAGAAGACTGTACGACGTGTAAGGAAAATAATAATAATAATAAATAAATAAAAACTAAAAAATAAATAAATGTAAAAATTAAAATAGAAAAAAAATAAACAAAAATAAAAATATATAAATGAATAAAATAAATAAATTCTATAAAATAAATAAATAAATGAATAAGTAAATATAAAATAAATAAACAAAAATATAAAAATAAACACAAAAATAATAATATCTAATGTTTACTCCTTTTATGTTAAGTAACCATCAACATCTTTCGACAATAAGGACTTCAAGAATAACCTTTAACATTTTTAATGAAGGTAAAATATTGTAAGTGACAGAATGAAAAAAAAAATATTTCTTATTAAATATTGGATAAATAGAGACATTTTATCCAGACCTTAATCCAGAACCTTATATTACTGAATCCATAGACTTTTCTGATCAAATCTAGTGATCTTTTTTAAATCCAAATTCTTATCCTAATAATAAGCAGGATTTCTCATCTTTTCCATAACTTTTGCTTACTAAATCTAGGACCTTATATATCCCACCTTCATCTCTGTCAACAGGCCACCCTCCGCCAAACGTCAACTGGTGGCACAGAGAGAAACTGCTTGACGGTGAGATTGACAGCAGGGTCGACTCTGTGTACCGGAACGTCTTACAGGTCGGCCCGATCACCAGGAAAGACCTTGATGCCTTCTACGTGTGCCAGACCGTCAACTCTGATCTGGTCACACCCATCAGTAGTGGAGTTACCCTCGACGTTAACTGTGAGTTGATGACGTTAAGGAGGAGGAGGAGGAGGAGAAGAAGGAGGGGGAGGGGGAGGAGGAGAGGAGGAGGAGGAGGAGGAGGAGGAGGAGGAGGAGGAGGAGGAGGAGGAGGAGGAGGAGGAGGTAGAAGAAGCTAAAAATATGAGTGGAATTGGGAGGAGAAGGAAAGAGTTAGGTAGCGAGAGTTAGTAGGAGAAGGAAGTTAGAAACGTGGATAAAGAGGAGGTAGGAAATTAAGAGGAATGGTGGAGAAGGAGGGAATGTTTATATACTCTAGTACTAGGTTAGGTTAGGTTAGATTAGGTTAGGTTAGGTTAGGTTAGGTTAGGTTAGGTTACGTTTGGTTACGTTACGTTTGGTTAGGTTAAGTTAGGTTATGATGAGACAGAATAATTATGAGTAAACAAACAATTATGCCAATTATATCTTCTGGACTTGAGTAAAATTAATCAAGGGTTAATTATTAATAAAGTAATTATTTATTGGTTATGAATACACGAAAATAATAATTAACTGTAATTAGATTCCAAATTATCAAGCTTAAAAACTTATAGCTGTAACCATAACGCTTAAAGGGGTTAATTAGAGGAAATATATGTCTCTATGGTCCTTGATAGTATTAAGGGTCACTAATTAAGGTAATTCATGGATCTCAATTTACATCCTCATCTCACGCTTAGATATAGTCTCTCTCTCTCTCTCTCTCTCTCTCTCTCTCTCTCTCTCTCTCTCTCTCTCTCTCTCTCTCTCTCTCTCTCTCGTTCGCTAATCATTATTCTTCCTTTCTACTTTCTCTTTATATATATATACTTCCGTCTTCATTTCTCTCTCTCCTTATTTCTCTGTCTGTCTGTCTGTCTGTCTGTCTGTCTGTCTGTCTTCAAAATCATCCCCAAATCCCACCACTAATTCTCTCACTCTCTCCCTCTCTTTCTCTCCCACCCCTCCTCCCTCAGTGCCGCCTCTGTCGGTGGAGGTACTAGGGTCGGGTCAGGCTCTGGTAGCTGGGGAGGAGTACGAGGTTACCTGCCAGAGTACAGGTGCTCGACCCCCAGCCACTATTACCTGGTGGCTGGACGGTGAGCAGCTCATCAACGAGTCTTCCCGCGTGAGTATCTGTCTGTCTGTCTGTCTGTCTGTCTGTCTGTCATATCAGTTCTTATTTTTCTACCTTATTATATCGTCTCCGTCTCTATGTATTTATTTTCGCCATTCAAGTAATTTAGAATAAAGATAAAATTGTAATTCTAAGTTTATTTAATTTCGTATAAGATAAACTTCCTCATCTAAATAACTTATACTAATGTTAACAAAAATAGTTTATATAAGTTAAGCTAGTTTTTTTTTTTGGCTATTAAGCTAGTCATGTATAGCCAATCAAAAGATGTAAAAAGAATACGTAGAGATTATTGTTGTTTTTGCTATTTAATGTAATATATCATTTTAAAGTTTAGAAAATAACTGAGATTTTTACCATCACTAGCATCCACCATCCAACTCACCCACTCATCCCCCAATCAACCGCCCACAATCACCCACTCATCACGATCATCCACCAACCAACCACCACCCACTCCTCACCCACTCATCCATGTCTTCTCCCTTCCTCACTCTCTAACAGATCGAGAACCAGGGAAACGCTACCTTCAGCACCTTAACTCTGGTCCCCGAGAAAGACTATGGTGGCAAAATCTTAAAATGCTTGGCTCAGTCACCAGTCCTTGACCACCACCCCCTCGACGATACCTGGGAGCTGGATGTACACTGTAAGTCCCCATTGAGTAATTATTTCTCTCTCCTGAATCAGCTAGCTCCATGTATGCTAATCTTGATTGACTGACTGACATGTTCATTGAGATTTTTTTGATTTCTCATCTCTAAACTGATTTGTAAGCAATTTCCATCAGCCAGCTCCATGTATGATAATCTTGATTGACTGACTCACACGTTCACTGAGAGAATTTTTACTTCCTTTTCTTTTGTATCTTCCCGCTCTTACTGACTTAACTGATATGATTTATTTCTTAGTTTTCTGTTTTATTTTATTTATTTTTTATACTATAGACTTTCTTCAATACGCTCAAGGACATTCTTTAACTTCTGATATTCTCAATTTTGATAGACAGATAGATAGATTGATATATAGATAGATAGATAGATAGATAGATAGATAGATAATCCACTAATACGCCATTAATCTTATCGTTCACCTCATTCATTACATTCATTATTATTCATGGTCATTATTCAACTATTAATATTCATTAAATTTGAAGGAAAAAATTATCTCAAAGTTTTCACAATATTACGTATGAATTTTTTTATATAAGTTTTTCATATTTACTGTGAACAAAAGTAAACGAATTTACTGTTAATTTTATTTTACTTTCATTGTATAATGTTCACTTGTTATAAATACAATTAATTTTTCAGTTATTTAGATCGTTGTTAATTAATTTGAGTGTGATGTTATTCATTATGAGACTTTTTTGAAGTGTCATTATCGGTATTATTCATTTATATTCAGCTCCATGTTACTGTTTATACATTCACCAGATCATTCATGGAGACTCGCTCTTCAATATCATTCATAACTAGAAGTGTGAATTAAACTTCTTGTAGGATTATTCACGACGTTCTATATAGATCGTTCATTAAAGATCTCAGTCGTTTTACCTTCTCTGTGTCTATATATTTATACATGAGGTGATATATGCATATAACTGAGGACATTATTATATAAATTATAACACTGTAATCCCACTGATACGAAATATATAAGAGATTTTCTATAATGGGATTTTCGTTATGGATATATTTTCATCAGTCTCCAAACACCATTAATGAGTTAAGTCTCTTATAAACATCTATTATGTAAATCTTTCATTATACCGGTGAAGATTAACTTGTAATCCCACGCCAACAATATCCCCAACTGAGACTTGAACACAATAACCTCACTCTAAGTATCCTTGACATTATTCTTGTGTTTTCTTAATTACCTGTTGACAGAGGGACAATCATGTTGACACTCTCGACTCATCAAAGACCCCGCTCACCTAATTAGCTTAAGTCAACAACCTTTGAAACTGAGCCTGTAAGTGTGTGGTGAATGAATTATTTAAGTTATAATATACCATGTAAACGTGTTATTCTCTGGAGTTGAATTTCAAGCTAAATTTACACGTATTTTTTTTTCTTCATAACAAGACACTGAGCTGCCCACATTAACTCTTGAGTTTGAACGTTGTGGTGAGTGAGAGATGATGACTGAACGTGAAGTATTTCTGAACATAGAGACGCAGGCAGATAATCATACTATTTATAACGCTTGGTATTGTGACTCCCTCTCATCCTTTGGTTATACTGAAGATGAAAATACTGATAAATTCAACAAAGTAAACATATATATTAAGAAACAAAATATGTTTGTGTTATGTGGTTCTTCTTTGATATTTTCTTTTTTGGTGAGGGAGGGGGTAAAGCCTCTTGGAAAGTAGGTAAGAAAAATCCTCGATCGACCAACACACAGCTCAGGAGGACAACTAACAAGACGGTAGACCCAGTTACTGCTCTACGATACAGCATAAAATCGCTAAGTGGAATATGATGGACACGTGAGGTTGTCATATAACATCACAGTACAGGATAAATATATTATACTCTTGACATAAATAAAATGCTTCTAAACCGACATTCTCAATATTTTTTCACCGAATTATCAAGCCAGAAGGCACACTTTATATTTACACCATGTGAGGTAGTGAAGAAGCAGCCTTGATACCCTCCTTCAGAATATAATCTATGAACTGTGCAAAGGCTCCCAACATAACTCAAGGAAATAACTGACTTTAGCAGAGAGAAGGAGATCAAAGGATCCACAAGCCAGCTCACTTTAGTTGCTCGGGCTGTCCAAGGAGGTGGGTAGAGTGGTACTAGGGAAAGATATTTTTTTAATCAAGTGTCTTCATAAATAGACACTATAGTACTCAAGCTGTTCTACCTGAGTTTAGGAGATCATATACACGACACTGATCTGGCTTTAGACACAAGCAAGACGCCACCTCCCAGAAAGGCTGTTTTTTTTTCCCCCACCTTCAGTACTCTGGAGATTCACCTCACCTGCTACGAAGATACTAAAACTGACCCACTACTAATAAGATATTAATGCATGTGTGCATGGTAGTTTAGGTCCGGCTGAATACATGTACCATTATAGTGAAGTAAAATTAGCCTGTGTTATCTCTTTATCGATATTTCATTCGTCAAATATCTTAGTTAGTATTACGAGATCAGAGAGAGGACTTTTTCGCTTAATAAACAACTCGAGCTACAGAGAGTGACAGACCAATAAAACCCTCGAGCCGGAAAACTTTGCCTGTGAGAGATGAGAAAATATTACGTGAGGGACAACAATTGCCTGTTCTTTTTTTTTCCAGTTTATTTCCCAAAAGTAACAGATGACGTCAGAAGGTAATCCATTGGAAAAAAAAATATGATTTGAGTGTGATTAAATATTCGTACTACCGTTCGTGAATATTCATTTTACGTCATTTACTTTACCGTTTTCTATGATTCACTTTACGTCGTTCATGGTACCGTTTTCTATGATTTATTTTACGTCAGTCGTTGTACCGTTTATTATTATACACCTTGCGTCGTTCATGGTACCGTTTTCTATGATTCATTTTACGTCGTTCATGGTACCGTTTCATGTGATTCACTTTACGTCGTTCATGGTACGTCGCTTATTGTATTGTTTTCTAAGACACAGTTTACATGGTTCCTTTCGTATTTTCTCTCTTATTTCTTATTAATCTTATTTGATCTAATTCGCCTCTTCCCTCTCACCTCCTTCTAACTAATCTCTCCTGTAGTCGCAAAGTATCACCGTGTAGCCTTGAGTTCTCCAGTGAAACGGCAACCAAAGAAATAATATCATGGCTAAGTCTTCCCCCAAATCTTCAGCTCGCACCTAAGATTCTCTCTCCTAATAAACTAGCCTCTCTAGCTATTACGAGTTGACAGTTTATCACATTAAAGGCTTTGTTTATCGCTATTTATAAAGGGTGTTCGAAAAGTCCCTTGTACACCTGTAATCAATTGTAATTTCTAATAGAGATAACTTAAGTGTGTTTACTCAAGACAAAAAAAAATAATATCCGCCAAACTGAACCATATCGAACCATACCCAACTGTCAAGCCAACAAGCCAGCGGTACAGTCGTCACCCTTCACACAGAGGAAAACAAGTAGGAAAAAAAACCAGTCGGGTGGAAAATTTTTAGTGATGGTCATTATGGAGGATTTATGATCATACTGTACGTCGTCAGTCATTGTAGTGATGGAGGATGGGTGGTATTGGAGGGTGGGTGGTGGTAGAGGATGGGTGGTATTGGAGGGTTGGTGGTGGTAGAGGGTGGGTGGTAATGGAGACGCTAGCTAGAATCATGACAGCAACAAACTCACCTGGACATATTCCCTCTGTTGACTTATTTATTTTTTATTTTATTTTTTATTTCTTCGTCTTTCAAAAGTTACATCGAGACCATTTTCTCTTTGGTCGACTTTGATGATTCTTACTAGTGGAGTAATTAACGTTGCCCCGGTAAGTGTTTGGTGAAGATGATGGTGGTGAAGGGTGCTTTACTCCCTTGCCTTCTAAATGCTACAGTCCTCCTCCTCAGCTGCGTTAGTGAGCTCAATATTCGCCTCTTTTGACCGTCGGTGGGAAATGTAGCCGAGTTAGTGAGCTCAATATTCGCCTCTTCTGACCGTCGGTGGAAAATGTAGCTGAGTTAGTGAGCTCAATATTCGCCTCTTCTGACCGCCTGAAGAAATATTTATCCTTATGGGAGAAAATTTCACCCGTACCCCCCTTTCAAGATGATAGTCTAAGGTATAATTACTTCTAGGACGAAAAAAAATGGATAATTTCAACCATCGTCCTCAAGTGAGTATTATGAGAGACGATCACCCTATAATCTTTGCAGTCGCGTATGTATGTATGTATGTATGTACAAAATTGTCATTATCACGAACGTTAAAACACATCCCAGATCCATTTATCGATATATACACTACTCTCCCCAAAAAACCATGTAGCCTTACTGAGAAACGAGAGATTAAAAATGCAATGAAATATATACAAGCAAAATTAAACAATATTCTATGTTTCAAAATGTTATAATAATGAGCCAGAAATCAAATATATTTCACATCACAGAGCCACAGAGAGGGTGGTAGTGGTGGAGAGTGACCAACACAGTTTAGAGTTAGGCGGGAAATACGACCGTGAGGCCAGGAACACAGATTAGCGGCGTAATAATGTTTACATCACCGATACCAACACAACACAGTTAATTGAGATTACTGAATTCCCAACCATTATTGTTTACATACAAATGCTGCATCGAATGACCCCAATATCACGTATATTTAGAATTAATTGAGATTTATTGTGTATTTCTGATGTTGTTGTTGTTGTTAAATAAAAGTGTATCGTGTAGTTTAATACTTGGGTGATGTATTACTTGTGATTAATGATAGGTTCCTGGTTTATACATATCGGTAAATCCTAATCGTTATAACATCCAGTGATAAAAATAATAGTTGTTTTTTTCATTTATCATTATTGTGTGTTTTGAGGTAATAAATATCTGGTGTGTGTGACTAGAGCTTCCAGTAAGAGATAAATAGCTCACTCTAAGTCAGTCGTTATTTGTGATTTTATAAAGTTAATTAATCTACTAAAGTTCCTACATAAT